ATGCCTCAGGTATTCCCCACGGGAGATGGACGGTTCTAGAAATGAGTGGCTCAGAGAACTGGCAGGGCCACGATGCAGAGCTGTGAGTCACCAGGATATACACAGATATGTCGGAGTCCCCAGAGGGCACTGTTAGAGGTTTTATTAACTAATAAAGACATCAGGAGAGGGAGGAGGGAGCTCAAGTAGAGCTTCAAGTCTACCACAGCTGCTGCCACTCAGCTCTGAACCCCTGACGCTGAGACAACAGACCACCCCCCACAGGAAGGAACCAGGGGAATAACCACCCTGTCCTCTCCTCTCCATTTCCTCACAGGCTTCCCATTGGCTGAGCCAAACCAGGAGCAGAGGGCCTGGGGAGGGAGCACCTGTTGACTGGGTAGTGGGCCCTGCCTGTCTGCCTCCCAGGCAGAGCAGGATGAACGTACAAATCAGCTCTGGAGAGGCAGGTGGGAAAACTGCCCCGTGGGGCTCTGGCCCAAAGAAATGTTGTAGGATGAGACAAGTAACTCAGAAGGAAAGGGAGCCATTCCCCCCCCCCCATGTTGCTTGTAAAACTGCTAAGACTCATTTTACTGAGAACTCTGGTGGTATAGAGTTAAGGCATTTGGTTGCTAACCAAAAGGCCAGTGGTTTGAACCCATCAACACTCTATGTGAGAAAGATGAGCAGTTCCCTTCTGTAAAGATTTACAAACCTCGGAAACCCAGTGGGATTCACCATGAGTGAAAAGTCAACTAGATGGCAGGGAGGTTTTATTCTCCCCAAGTTTCAAAGGGAAAGACTTGGCCTTGTGTTTGGTCACTGTAATGACCTAGCTTGAAAGCTAGTACACTTCAACATTGGTGAATTTGCCCAATAACCATCTCTTGCAAGCAAAATCCAAACACTGAGGCAGCATTTGGCACAACTGAATGGCTGCCCCACGACTAAAACTGAAACCCCATTTTTGAATTAAGGCACAGCTAGACCTGAAATGGTCACGTCTGTTCTTAAGAAGGAACTCTGGTAGCATAAAGGCTCTGGTGGTTAAAGCATCTGGCTGCTAACCCGAAAGTTAGCAGTTTGAAACCACCAGCAGGAGAAAAGGAGGCAGTCTGCTAACAAACATCGGCAGCCTTGGAAATCCTATGGAGTTTTATTCTGCCCTAAAGGCTCACTAAGAGAATTGACTCGGTTGTGGGGGTGGGCGGGTGGTGCTTGCTCTCAAAAGACAGTTCAGCTACTTGTAAAAGTTGAACTTCTTATAACATAAAAGGGCCCGGGTCAGGATTTTCAGCCTGCTCAAGGAAGATGTTTGTCAAGAATATTTGTAACAGCCTTTTCCTAAGATGACAACTTTCAGTCAACATGTCCACGGGTTACCCAAAAATGTGGGCCCTTGACCTGAGGGACACAGACAATTCACTCACACTTAGAAGTTTAGTCACTATGCATAAGTGGGAAGGGACAGTTTCAGAATACTCCAGAAGTTCACCCCCCTCCAGTGGGCAAGTACAGGGTTAATGAGGTGGAGCTAAAGCTTATGATCATGCACACACTTCTGTCCCCAAGGACCAGGGCTCCTTCACTCCGAGGAGGACAGAGAGAGCCCCTGGGTTATACTATGAGCCTTCTCTCAGCTCTGGGAGGCGTCCCCACCAGGCAGATTCTCTCTCAAGGCTGACCTCCCTGGAGCATCTCCGGGCTGCATTCTTGGTTTTTATGCCTCTAGGTCCCAGTGCTCTTCCTGAAGCCATTTTTTACATCAGGTATCACCCATCAGACACAGGTTAGGAAACAATTCATAGTGGTGAAAGCCTGCAACTGCCTCAGCTCTAAGCAAGATGATGTAAACGCCAACCAACCAGGTCTTGGTTGTAGCTTGCGGACTTCCCCAAACCAGGCTGCATTTTTATTCACCAAGGGCTTTGGACCCTGTCCGCTAACTCCTTCTAAATTCGTAACTAAGGCAAAAAACAGCTCTTTACCTTAAGAGAAAGGGGCAAACAGGCAAGCAGACTTGTTCTACTTTACAACCAACACTAAGGAGAACAGTGACCTTTAGCCACCCCTGTAACTTTTTGCCTTAACCCTTCCCTCCCCGTGCCTGTGAGCACAGGGTGTTTTTTTTTTTTTTTAAACTCCATCTGATTAAAACCTGTCTGTCTGCAATTTGGAACATTTTAGTACCCTGCTTGGATGTGTCTGTTTTGTGGAAACTCTTTCCGTAAGAAAATGTTTTGCTTCCTCATCTAACAAGACTGGCCTGGTGCTTTGTGTCTTCAGCCTTTTAGAATCCTCTTCTTCCAGAGAGACCACCTGGCTATTAAGGACCCCTTCTTTTCTCTCTGAGTCTTCCCATTTGCTTAAGGGATACAGCTACAACACTGTCCCTTGGCAGTTAACAGGTGGTAGCAGACAACTCCAGACTCACTTAAGCACGGCCTCAAGAGCAGGACAAATCAATTACCTAGCTCAGGACTCCATGTTAGCTGAAAAAGCTGCAATTCTGCCGAGTCAGAGGCTCTAGAGACACTTCATTTTTATAGCAACCTGCCCCAACTCCCAACTTCCTTCAAGCCCCAGACTAGCTTCCTCTTAAACTAAAAATAAGCCATAGAGCCCAGCATCCTGTTTGCTGGTGCTCTGGGAATGTTTTGCCAAAATTTGACTTGTGCACGCAATAAAGGTCACCAGCCTGCAAGAGACTGACCCCGATACCTTAATTTCACTTCCTTCAAACAGTCCCTCCATTACATAAATGCAGCAAGGGGAATCAGGTGTAAGCACTCACTCTTGATCCCAGCCCCATTAAGCAGGTGTCCCTAATGAAACCATGGTTTCTCAGAACAGACATAGCCCCTTAATTCCTAGACAAATTTGTTTCTGCTTAAGGAATCTTGGGATATCCTACAGAGACTTAACCTTCTAGAGCCCTTCAGTGCATGGAACCTTCATATCCCCTTGTTACATATTCAGGTGGAGGTGCTTTTCATCTGGTGAGTGCCTACTACGTGACAGACATATACCCTACACAACCAATAAAGTCATAGGGGAAGGGGTTAAGGAGTGTTTGCAGTCTGTAAGGCTGCGATTTTAAGGCAGGTATTAAGAGTAGGTGACGTTCTTTGACAAAGGTAACATATTAGGAATAGGAATGAAGGACACTTGAAGGTAAGAGGCTAGACCAGATAGATATCTGGGGAAGATAATTCCAGGTGGAGTACAGAAGCCTCTCAGGTCCTGGAGCACTGAAGAGCCGAACCTGCTTGAACAAAGGGAGAGGGTACAGACTGGGACAGAGGATAGCAGATACAGCCAGAACCCAAATTCTCAGGGCCCTCAGCAGACTAGGCCATTTTAAGGACCTTAGTTTTCACTCTGTGAAATTAGGAGCCACTGCTGGTGCAGTGGCCAAGTGCTCAACTGCTAACTGAAAGGTCTAACAGAAAGGTCGGCAGTTCAAACCCACCAGGCTTTCGCCTTGGAAGAAAGATGAAGGCTTTGGCAACCCTCTGGGGCATTTCTGATCTGCCCTTTAGGGTCATTTGAGTCCAAATCCACTGGACGACAGTGGGTTTTGGTAGGGGTCTAGTGGTGCTGTGGTAAAGGCATTGGGCTGCTAACCAAAAGGTCAATGGCTCAAGCCCACCAGCTGCTCCACTGGAGAAAGGCAGTCTGCTTCCCTCAAGACTTACAGCCTTGGAAACCTGCAGGGTCACTGAGTTGCAACTGACTCCCTGGCATGGGATTTGGTTGTTAAACTGAGGAATTAGATTTAAAATTTTTTCAGGCTGTTAACTAAAGAACAGACCTGGGGGGAAGGAGCATAACCCAGGCAAGCCATGACAGGGACTTGGATCTGGGATAGCAATAGCTGAGGATTACGTATAGATGTTTTGGAAGTAGGACCAACAAGATTCTTCCCTGGCAGATTAGGCAGAATCAAATAACCACTCCAAGGTTTACTAGTTTGATTTCAAGATTTGAGAGGTGCCTTAAGTATTCTCATTTACCCTCTCCCCCACAACCCAGAAGGAAAGACTGCACCCAACCGACTAAAAGACGATTCACTCAACGCCATAACACCCAGTCCTCTCCACTACCCCCCCCCAAAAAAACCACTGCTGGCCCGAACTTTACAAGTTTCCCCTTTTCCCTCTTGCTTCCCCGCCGCCCCCCCATCCTAAGAAAATAGATTCTGGCTTTCTTAGAACCTACATCTTTTTTTCTCAGCTATGTAAGCTTTCTAAATGGAAGTTTTGAGAACGCGCTAGGGGCCCCGCAAGGGGTATCTCCGCGACTGTTTCGAGGAAGTGCAATTCTCTTGGTTAAGAAATGTCCTTTTATATATATATATATATATATAAAAAAAAAGGGTGGGGGGAAGAAAAGCCGTCTTTATGTTCGCAAAACAAGCCAGCTGCAATCCGCAGGGCGCAGAGCATTCGGGAAAGCCAACAGTTTGCTCCCGACTCACGGCCTCTCCGGCCCCACCAACATGGTTGCAAAAGGAAGATACCAGGCCCAGCCTCACATCCAAGTTAGCCCGTGCTCTCAGCACCCGGAAAACCCTGCTTCCCTCCAGAAATAACGCGCAGCCCACTACCACCCCGCCAAGCATTCTCCACCCTGAAGACGCTGCTCTAGCAGAAAGTGCCCCCCACGCCGCCTTTTCACGTTCTGTGAGCGTCGCGCTCGCAACGTCACTTCCTGGGGGCGGGCCTTCAGAGG